CGATCAAACTTGAGCCTTCCTTGTTTGAATAGCTCTCTGTATGTCTTTTTAAAATTTCGCATTCATTGATGGAATGAGAAGTAGTATTATGAAACTTGCGTAACTTCTTGTTCTTTAATTGTTCGTGGGACAACATAACATGATTGTCCGCAATTTGATCTGCCTTTCTCAAGAAGTCAAAGAGCTTGTCCGATTTTGTGACATCAAAGTCATAGCTCTCCTCGACTCCTCTTCCCAAGGATTTGGCACCATCACTATCTTCTTGCCCCAATTCCATTCATTTACAAAGAACCTCCTCTTCTTCATTCTCATAGCCATCGCCATACGTCGTCGAGTATGGATCATAAGCTTCAGCTATGGTGGTACTCTTCTAGAATCGGGTATCTCTGTGCATACTCTAGAATTGGCTATTGAGCGCTGCTACTCGTTGAGCCAACTGACTCATGTTATCAAACTCTTGCCCTAGCAACTTTTCTTTCCACATTGGCAGCATTCCCTAGACGGTTAAAGCAAATTTAACTCGATCATCCGCCAAAGCTCAATGAGAAGCACAAGTTCCTAGTCTCTCGGAATCTCTCAAGAAACTCAAAGTCTGATTCATTAGTCCTCTGTCTCATGGTTGTTAAATCGGTTATCTTCTTTTCTCCAGTCCCAGTGTAAAAATACGTATGAAACTTCTTCTCCAGGTCAGCCCAATTGGCAATGAAGTTGATTGGTAGTGACGAGAACCAAGTGAAGGCTAGCCCTGACAGGGATAAGGAGAAGAAACGAACTTGATGGGCATCCTCAACTGATGCTTCCCCTAATTGTGTGAGATACCGACTGACATGTTCTATTGTGCTTGTACTGTCTTGACCAGTGAACTTGGCGAACTCTGGGAGCTTGTAATTTGTAGGAAGAGCGACCAAATCATACCATTCTAGATATGGATGATTGTATGAAAAAGTCATTCCTTTTGGCTTTAGACCGAACTGATTCTTCATCATCTCGGTCACCTTCAGCAACAACTCGTCAGCTTGCGGATTTAGATTTCTCGGCACTTGCTGACCCACCTGTGGATTGAAATCCCGCGTGTCTTGATATCCTAGATTTGGTATCATGTGGAGGGTGCTATAATCCGTGCCATAGTGATAGCCTTGTGGAACCTCAATCTGTTGGGTCCTTTGCTGGCTTGCTGCTTGAAGTCTCTGATTATAGACATAAGGATATATATATATATCTCTATGGATCCTTTGAATTGATGGTGCTATCTTCTAAGCCGACGACGGTATATGGCCTGATGTGCCAAAATTGATCATCTGGTTTTGACTTTGCCCCGCCGGCTGTTGCACATGCTGTATCGACGGTCTAGGATTGTACTGTATCTGATTCGTATTAGTACCTAGAGTTTGTTCAGATGAACCTTGAAGTGCCTGAACGTCACCATTACCAGCTGGTGCTGCTTCTTGATGGCTGGTGCTGACTTGATTAGTCCCTTGGGTCAACGGATCTGGAATGTTGTAACAAGTCGATCCAACCTGACTAACTAGAATTCCATGAATCGTCTCTTTCATGGCGTTGTGAAATGCGTCAACGAAAGCTTCATTGTGGCTTGATAGAGCATCCCGAACAGATTTGTCTATGGCTTCTGTAAAGAAACGTCATTCTTCAGCTTCGACTGTATCTGTCTGCCTGTGTAGTAGAACTCTTGGTAGTGGAAATTTCTGAATAATGGTGTTGTCACGTGTTTTGGTGTAAGACAACAAACACTTCTTCTGAAATTCTTCTGTAGCTTTGTTGATGGTACCCTTATCTTCATCAGGTAGGTCTTCATAATGTACCACAAGGATGTTGTCGTTGTTGTGAACCGCCATGACGATTATGGGGTCCCACCGGGCGTGCCAGAAACGTGTGTCGATACAGAATTTTCGTCTCCGTGCCGAGGACACATGCAGCAAGCCAAAAGGGTCCGCTCGATGGAGTAGATCCGCCTAGCTTCAGCGTAATGGTGGTCGATCCTACGCAATCCTCTCGAGATGTGCCAGTCAATTTGACCCTGCAACTGATAAGGAGAGAACGTTTATCAGTAATTAAGGGCGGAACGTGCCGGTGTTGCCAGACAGTCCCGAATGTGCGGCTCTGAGGGCCGATATGAGAGGAGGTTGACTAAATAGTCAATTCCAGCATATTCATAAGAATAAATCGGTTAAAGCTCATGGGGTTGTGTAAGAAGAATCGGTTATCATCCAAGATAGATATAATTTTAGCAATAATTTAATCAATGGTAATAAGATATCCATGATGATCGGTTTAAACTGAGCCAATGATTACAAGCAACTGAACCCCTTTTTATATAAAGAAACAATTCAACACCACTTAACCATTTAATAAAGATGAATCTAATGAACATGTTAGATCTCATCTATCGCCATGACCAGTGGGGCATGAGGCAAAATCATGCAGGCCGTAGAAACAACAATAGACTCGACGACCCTAACTCATTACTAATATCAGTGGGGCATGAGGCAGAATCATGCAGGCCGTAATACAATAACAAGATCATGGGGCTAATATATCTTTTAACTTATCTCTACTTTAATGGTCTCGTAATGTAATCTGTTCGTGAGAGCGCTCGATATCGGCTAAACAACCGATTCAGGCATAGCGCACAGTTAGGGTCACGCCTTCTCAGGAACGGATCTATCAACTAACGATCCCCACTCCACGGTGCTAATAGTGGGGTGAGAGGCAGAATCCCACTGGCCGTGATAATGAGCCATGGAACGGTTCTCGCTAACCAATAGATCTACTCAAGATCGAGCATGCCTTAACCGCACACTATGCACGATTAAGATTGATACAAAAATAGCCAATAAAAACATAACTCATCGTTTAAAATGTAGATTAGATTAGTTTTAGATTAGCAAACGATGGGTTAAATAAGATATAAGGCTGATCCAGATCAATCTCAATCGGGCAGAGTGATATTGCTGTAATTAGATAAACAATAAAAGCAATAAGCAATATCGGTAACTTAATGAATCTACCAAAGACTGCCATTCAAAGGTAGAGCCGATAACTTGACCTTGATCTAGTTCAAGCAGTGGGGTGTGAGGCAGAATAACACAGGCCATACTTGAACTAGGCAAGAGTTGATAACTAGCCTATACCAGAGTCGCAGTGGGGGTCGACCGGATCGATGCAACCATACGAACAGAGGTATAAACCATGACGGTACTTATAGACAAGTAGTGGAGGTCGACAGGATCGATGCAGCCGTACTTGCTGAAGAACTCGCCGAGATCTACTCTACTCCTACTCCTAAGGGGTGGCCGCAGCCGAAAAAAGTAATTGACTTTGTATTTGATTGATTGGTTCCCTCTTACAATAGCCGTGGTTTGATATTTATATCCGGAGTCTAGACATGAATCCTACTCGAGCACGATTTGTTACAATCTTTGGCATAAAAATGAAAACATTCCTAATTTAAGATAACTTGGACTCTAATCTTTCTCTTTTTGTAGAGTCCAACATGCCTCGTCCCAGTGCCGATCATAGCTTCTGTCATTATCTGCTAGCGCTATCTAAAGAAAGCTGATTCTAGTGCCGTATTCGAATCAGCTAGTTTTGATCTACACGTAATTGATCCCTTGCTGACATGATTCTAGGAGTTTTCGAGCATCTGAAATCCTTCTTCCAAATTCTGGTGTAAACAGACCGCTTGGAAGCGGTGGAGACCGAGGCGCGTCGCCTATGGGAGGAAATGGAGGCTTCTTAGAGGTCAGAGAATGAGTCGCTTCGTCGTGAAGCACAGGCTAGATCCCAGGTTGAGGCCCTGACGTCCTAGGTGGCCCGACTTCAGGATATGGTGGCTGCCCAAGAGTCAGAGATCACCTCGGCCAACGCTGCTTAGTAGATGACCGAGCAGGGGCTACAGCGCCTTGAAGCTAAATGCCAGAGACAGCGCTCAACTTGTAGTGGTGAGTCTTCTTTGACTTCGCATCATGCCTCTACTTTGTTTCTATGTTCAGTCATGGACCGATGTTCTTTTCCATAGGGTTGCGTACGAGGACGCTTTTGGATCAAGAGGAGAAGACAGCCATAAGCCAGAGGATGTTGGAAATGGAAAATCAGTTGGTGGCTTTGACTATCTCCGGACGGGCTCTTGGTGATGTTGTGCTTGGCGCCGACGGGGTGAAAGGTCCTTGTGTGGTTTTAGTAATTGAGTGACAACCTTGATGGACTAATTACGTTTATGTGAGATACATATGTGATTAGTCCACAGGTACATGTGTGTGAGCAACATATGCCATGAAGGTGAAAATGGCTTGGAGATGTTGTAAAGCTCGCACGTGTGATGAAGGAGCTCATTACAAATGTGACATGACATTGAGTCATGTGATCAAGGTGGAGAAGATCAAGACATAACTTAGCTTGATGGGCGGTTGCAAGCGTGAAGGGTAAGTCGGAGGCTTTGAGTGATGGACCAAGGTGGCGGTGAAGCTTGAGCAAGACTTGGCGCCATGGACGAAGGAAACCGTGAAAAGCAAGTGGTCGAGGTATGTTTTGTGTGATGGTTGAACCATCTCATGGTGGTCATGTCATCTTTGTGCTTTTGTTTATCATCAAGGTCCGAGGTCGAGAGAATTTCAAGAGTTTGAGGACAAGTCGGTACGCCATTAACTGCACTCTTGGTGTTGGGAAACAACCGAGAGATATGTCAAGGTTTGGTGTCATTGCTTGAACAAGCTATTGGTTGGAAGCCTCGAATATAAGGAAATAATTGAAGCAGATCAGGAGCTGGTAATTAATCGATCTGTGTAGGCTCCAATAGTTTCAATTGCATTTGTACACATGGATAATATTCATCACCATTTTCACTGTAGTCTTTGGATCTTTGCAGGGGATAACGTGCTTCTATGATGATCTTGTGGAGGAGTTGATGTGGGGAATGAAGAATCTCATGCGCAGCTTTAGTGCCTCAAGAACAAAAGGTCTTGACCAAGGAGAAGCGCCTCCCTATGAGTAAAGGGCTGGAAATGATCCTGCGTTGTCATAACTTTGATGTCAAGCCAGAGATGGTGAGTTTTCATCAGAGCCTGTCTTTAGTTACCTTTTACCTGATGTGTCAAGTACTGATCTGTGCGCTTGAAACCCTTATGGTTGACCCAAAACCTTTTTTTGTTGTAATTAAACAGAAGACTCACAGTTCTTTTTTTTTAACAAAACGACACGAGATTATGCCCAATTTCATTGAAATTAGGAGAAGAAACAAGCCCCTAGGGGTGGAAGAAGGCTCATAGTTCTTATAGATATACATTTAGTTACTCATTTTATTGCCTATTCATTTTAGTTTCTGAGGTTAGTTTTTATAAACAAGTAAAGAATTATGCCTTGTTTATGGCACAGGGATAAAATATTTGTCTTGTTCTTTACAAACCTGTTGTGTTATCTAAAAAAGGTTGGGTCATGCCTGCCTTTGATCAATGCCCCTTTGTTTGTATTCATCTAGGTCAACGATGAAATAGTGGAAACAAATTTGCTTCTTTTTATGACTGGTGACTTGGTTGTAAAGAAGCATTCCAGGAGCCTTCACATGTCAGATTCAGATCTTATGGAGATATCTGGGTTCAACAGCCAGGACTGGGATACTATGAAGATTGCAACTGCTATGAAGATGATAGCTTATCCAGACGAAAAAGTTGAGCACCCTCCTGAGGTGAGCCATAATACTACTTTTGCAAGTGTGTTTTCGGGCCTGTTTGGTAGAGTTGTGCTCCCTGATTCTCCAGCCGTGCCTCCCTGATTCACTGGTGAAGTGATTCTGAGTGATTGTCTGATATAATCATTTGGCAAGTTGTCTGCGAAGTGATTTCTGAAAGGAAGGATTTTGCTGGAATTGTCCATAGTACCCCTGTCTGTCTGAACTGAAGTACGCCCAATATTTGTATTAATCATTATGGTTTTGTTAGAAATTGAGACTAATGAAATTCTTCATGTATTTCGTGATTTTTGCATGCAGTGCAAAGGACTAACACAAACATTTTTTACATTCTCATCGCACCAGTCTGCAGTGTCTTCCTTCATGGTGCTGATATTCGGCCTGTTCGTTGGTTGGTTTCTGGGTCGATAAGTCCTACCGGTGCTAGTTTGTTGTGAGAGGAAAACACCGCTATCGCCTCGATAAGCCCTCATGAAACCAACAAGCGAACAAGTCGATTGTTTCATGTCTTAGAATTAGTATTAGTAGTCATACTTCACAAACATGTAAAGGACTAACACTCATGCAAAAAAATTATTTTCAACTAGCTACACACCAAAGATCACATACAAAATCCATAATACAAGAAGAAACATGTCTCCAGATCAGAGATCTGAGCAAGAGGGGGCTTGGACGGCAATGAGAGGAGGTAGGAGGCAGCCTGCAAAGAATACAAATCGTAGACAAAATCGATGGATCTGAGGAGAGAACGATTTGAGAGGGATGGGATGAGCATCGGCCTTCAACTCACCGGAGAGCAAATGACGGACGAGCAATGGAGGGGGCATGGCGGTCGGTGCGTGACGAGCAAGCGTGCTGCACCGGGACAAGGAGCGGGCGTCGGGGAGGGAACGGCGTGCGGGCGCTCCTCTCTCGTCGCCACATGAGAGTCGCGACGCGGCGCCCGCACTTGAGGGGACAGAGAGACGGTGGGGGAGAGGAGACCAAGGGATTTCTATTTTATACCAAAGGGCATTTACTTGCAAATATCATGAAAGTTTGTGGGGAGGTCTGCCTCTCATATGGTGGGGATCGGGAGTGAATCCGGAGGAGCATGTTTTTATAGCTCCCTCGGATGTACACAGAATAGAGAGCGATTCACTCAGATTCACTGGAGAAGCTAGGGCGTATTTTTTATGTTTAGCAGCCGAGGAGCGATTCTCTTGGAGAATCTGCTCCATGGAGCACTCCCAGACGCAGCCTTCATTCACCATGCACTCGTTATGCATATATATGTCATATATACGAATCTCATATACTTGCTTGGTCTGAGGTTTTGTGTATCTCTGTTTCTATCAGATGTTCTCAAAAGATGAGCTATCGAAGATACAGAAAGATGCAAGTAAATATAACGATAAGATCATCAAGCACGATGTCGCTAAAGTCTTCGAAGAATTGGTGCGTGCCAAAAGATGTAAGGAGATTAAGGTGACACTCATGCGGCACTTGGTTCGTGAAGCTACCTTGATGGTTGGGGAAACTGCAAACAAGAGGCTCAATCAAGCTGATGACTGAGGTCTGAGGGCTCTACAATCTACAAACAAGATGTGATGATGTAATACTTTGTTTGGATGGAGATAATTATGGAGTAAAAACATGAATTAGGTCGCGTCATTGGTCTGTAAGACCAAATTTGGCCGATCCTCCTCAAATAACACCGCTCATCAACCACCCGCTTATAGGTTTCTCTCTCACAAAACCAAATGGTTTCAAAAACTTTTATACCAAATGAACGAGACCTTAAGGTTTTAATTAAACGTATTATCTCACGTACACGAGTTATTAATTCTTTGTTATTTTGAGTACCATTGTTGATATTGTGATGGAAGCATGCAAGTCCCACTTGAATTGGTGCATTTGAACCCTGCTCTCAGGCCTTTGGATTTCATTTTATATCCACGGTAGTCCTAATCATCTGTGCACACAAGACTTGTCGTCAGCTAAGCATCACTTTGGTATCGGTTAAGCAAGGGTGTGACAGGCCTGTCTTTGATTTCATTAAAAGATTTAGAGATATTAAAAACTGATGTTTTAATTTGATAATTTATAAAATGATTTTGCTGATTTGTTTTTTGTTGGCTTACACACACATATTAAAGAAAAAAGGTGGAGCACTTTTGAGTTTCTCACTATTAATTAGTTGTTACAAAAAAACCTTTGGCCATTGAAAATCGAAGTAATGTTGGAGAATATCTTAAATCACATCATTCTAATATGGGCGTGGCTAGCGCCCGGATGTCCGGACATCCGCACACAAATTTCGGCCTCTCCGTCATGCCTTTTCGCCTCGATCCTGGCCCACCTTCACCCTGGCCCCCATGTGCGCGCTCATCTCATCTCGGCTCACCGGTCGCCTCGACCCTCTCTCTCTCTCTGCGTGAGTGCGCGGGCAGCACTCAGGAGCCGGGATGAGCAACTGAGGACAAGCACGCCCCTAGCGCGCCCCGACCACAACACCACCACTCAGTCTGTCACCCCAAGCATCACAAGCCCTTGCCTACTACTCCTTTCCCCGGTAGCACAATATAAAACACTTGCAACATAGGAAACATTTGAATGCAACATACGTCCAAAGTAGATGAAACATTTGGAACACGCACTTGCAACATGTGTGTGAAACACATGAAACATCTAGATTTGCAACTTGCAACATGAAACTACTTGTCGCAACATAAGACAAACAATCTGAAATATTTGGAACACACTCACAGTTGCAATATATCTCAAACATCTGCAACATCCGGATAAAAAAAAGATTGCAATGTATATCCGGAAATGTAGATGAAATATTTTGAACAAACGCTTGCAACATATGCAACATGTGCAACATCCCCGATCTACTTTTGCAACATCAAAGATAAAATAAATGCAACATACATCTGAAATATCTGAAACACTTGAAATATATGCAAGTAGGGGAGGGAAGGTCGGGCTAGTCGATTTTGGCGTTGGGGTGGGAGCCGGCTGCTTCAGCAATGGGAGCACCACCAAAGACCACCACGCTCGTTAAGTGCCCTTGGCTCGACCAGGGAAGACTAGAGGCGCCACGGCACGTGTGCCCCAGTGGCCATGGCGGGGTCAGTTGCGTGCCCAACATCGATGGGCGACGGACGAACAACCAGGGAGCAAGCGACGCAGGTGACTGCCACACAGGTGGGCGGCGCAGGGAGCGAGGGCGCACGACGTGGCTGGTGATAAGGGTAAGGGCACGGTGCGGTAGCCAGATGAGCGCGCGCTGGAGAAGGAGGCGGACGTATGAGCAGCCATGCTGCTTTGAGGCCTAGTGGATAAGCACGAAGGAGTGAGGTGTGGGCTCGGAAGGGACGAGCGGATAAGCGCAAGGGAATGGTAATTTGTTTTTTTTTTGTTTGGGGCCGCTCCTGGGGAGCCACGTCCCTGCACGAAGTATTTCTGTTCTAATATACATGCTATTGAGTATCGTTTGGATAGCTCAGACGAAGAAACTATAATTGTTTTATTGGGTTGTTCGGCTGATGGTTTTTACGGCTGATAAGCCAGCTAATATTGTTTTGTCGTGAGAGAAAAATACTGTACGATGTCTGATAAACCATGCTAAGAAGTTTAAGCGAACTGGACGTAAATAAGTTTCCTGTTCTTCTTTCAAGTCAATTCCATCTTTTGCCACCGCTTGGTGAGTTGAAGCGTCATACATGTTATAAATGGTATATTTTTACTTCCCACGCAATTAATAATTATATTACGGATTTATGGTTCGGAAACGACTCTAACCAATCATTAATAAAGGGCGATTAAAGTCTATCAGGATACAAATTGATAAATTGTCGTTTTCTGTTAGTACCTTCTGTTTTCCTTTTTTCTTTTTCCGTTCTTCTCAGGGAAATGTTGATGAAAAATTTCGTGCCGATCTTGTATAGTCGCCGATCAACAAGTAGAGTCGCCGATCAACATCTTTGTCCTTCTCATCTTTTGCCCACACACGCCCAAACCGGACCGCGTCGGGCCACCACCCTGTTCCGGCCATAGCCCGTTCCACTCACTGCTCCCCCACGCGCTCGCCCCCGCCCCCGATCCACCACCGCGGCCGCGATGAGCACCGCCTCCGGCGACGGCGCGGACGCCGGCGGCGACGGGGCCTCCTCTGCGGCGGCGGCCGCGTCGGCGCCCGCCGGGAGACGGATCCCGCCCGCCTCGTCCATGCCGTGGGTCCGCAACCTCCGCCGCTTCGTCGGCACCGGCGCCGGCCTCGGATCCGAGGCCCTCATGGGTCAGTCAGTGCCTCTCGCCTCTGTTCCTCCCTTAGCCAGCCCCTCCGGCCTCCGCGCTAGGCTAGGCTCGGTCGGAGCTGCGCGCTTTGGATTTCGAGGTGTTGGTGGTTAGGTGCTAGGACTAGGGTTTACATCCGCCCCATGTTGAAATGTGTGTGGTAGGAGGATGGGATCTGTGCACCATAGGGTTTATGGTGATGTAATGCAGCCCCACGGGTAACTTGGATACTGATTTGCAGCTGTTGATTTTGGTGGTGATTCATTGGGGAAGAGAATGGTGCTTTCTGAAGAGGTAGTGACGTTTAGGAAGGCTATAGATTTTGGATGTGTGCTGTTTGAGCTTGCACCTATACTCATAATTTGATGATAGGGGGATACCTGGCCTCAGGACAGTGGGCTGAGTGCTAGTACTTCTCTGTCACTGCACCTGTACGGAGAACTAGGACCATTTTTCTTTTGTAATTTATCACATTTATTGAATTAAAGTAGTTTTGGTAGTTCCTTACCCATGGGTGCAGGAAATTGATACAAAAAACTAGCATGTTCTCTTTGGAAACAAGCTTAAAATAAAATGCTACACTAGACTCTGGTGGTTGCTTTATTAATCAACATTTACATTTCGCACTACACTCATGATTTGTTCTATACGCATAATTTGCAGAACTGGAGACTAAAAGGATATTGCTTGAGATTTTCAAGGAGCGGCAGCGGAAGAGTGCTGAAGCTGGTTCCATCCCAAGTTTTTACAAGAAGGTGCATGATTCAGTTTGCTGAGTGTTCTTGTCCTTTTATATTTGTCCTCTTAAGATGGAACTTACAGCTTAACTTAAAATAGAACAGTAGCAGTTCTAGCTGCCTGCATAGAGAGTAGTAATTTCTTTTGGGTTTCCTCAGTAATTTCACTTAGTTCTATTTGTAGAATCTAACACCCTAGTTGTGGATACTAAACTAATCTCCATCTTGTGTCCAGAAACCTGAAGAAGGATCCATTAGCTCTAGGGTTCAGAGGTTGGCCAAGTACAGGTTTCTAAAGGTAGCATCTTTTGGTGACAAGCTAAGCTTTATTTTGTTGGCATTTTCCTTTTCATGACTTGTGCCTTATGGGAGATTTTCAAAATCAATTACAGAAACAATCAGAACTTCTGCTGAATGCTGATGATCTTGATGCCATGTGGGTTTGTCTCAGAGAAAATTGTGTTATTGATGATGCTACGGGTGCTGAAAAGGTAGGATTCTTTTTTGATACATGTATTTTACATCACATCCATTTGTAAAGTCTTAGTTTTTGTTGCATGTTTGAATGTCAGCATACTAGTTTCGTTCCGGGCTCACCGGTTCACCACTAATAGCTACATGCGTGATCTCCATTTATGTTTCTTTAGCTGTTTATGTAGCACTATTTTTATTACTATCACCCTTTCTTATTTCTTCCTGGAATACTGCAGATGAATTATGAAGATTTCTGCCATATCGCCACAGTCTGCACGGAGCAGATTGGTCAGAAATGCAAACGTTTTTCAGCCCTTCAAACTTCATGAAGTTTGAGAAGGATGATTCTGGGAGGATTGCTATCCTACCATTTTATCTTTATGTCATGCTAACAGTGAGTTATTTTCTGCAAGAAAGAGTAGTTAAAATTGCCAGCTAGTTTTGTCCCACATGCTTCACTTTGTGTCTAATAGTTGTGGGTTGGTTAAAACCCACATTGTTAGCAATTCCGTTCTCTATTCTTATCTGAAGTAATTTTTACTCCATTAATTATTCCGCTTTCATTATTTATACCAAGTTTGTCTAAATAACTGTTAGGCTACACCTTAGAATCTAATTGTGCAAATTATGGTGCTATACACTGATCGCTTGCTTACTGGTGCTTCTGCAGGTTTCTCTTACTCAAGCAAGAATTGATATGAGTGAGCTCGATGAGGATTCTGATGGTTTCCTTCAGCCTCATGTAAGGGCACCCCAGGACATGTTGATGATAGTTTGCACCTTAGAAGTGTTTTTTATGCCTTAATTGTTCTCGTAGGAAATGGAAGCATGTATAAGAGGACTCACTCATTTATTTTCATAGGAAATGGAAGCATATATTAGAGGACTCATCCCCAATTTGGCACAATTGCGTGACATGCCCACTGCATTTGTTCAGATGTACTGCCGCATAGCTGCACGCAAGTTCTTTTTCTTCTGCGATCCACACAGGCGGGGTATAAGAAAAAAGAACTAGACTTATACAGTGGATGTATATCCAAAACAACATTATAAGATTAACTTCCTATGCTGTATTATACTGTTTATGCTTGCAGGGAAAGCATGCATAAAGAAAGTGTTGCTGAGCAATTGTCTTCAGGAGCTAATGGAACTACATCAGGTACTTTTTAATATATTTTTGCACTGTTCAATGTGGTGAACTTGATAATCTTGGTACTTCTACATTGAAATCTTGCTGCATACTCGTATTCCACATGGTTTTGGGGATTTGCGCATTTTGATGATTATCATCACTTGTATTTTCAGGAGAGCGAGGAAGAGGTAACCGATACCGAGCAGGCAGAGAACTGGTTTTCCTTAACTTCAGCTCAGCGCATATGTGGTATGTCAGCTGGAATTCTCGTAAATAGTTGTTTTGCCCCGTAGATTTGAAATGTATTATCTACGTACCATTCTAGTGTGGTGTATGGTCAGTGTTTGATTTTTACCTGATGCCTGCGCAGACATGTTTCTTGCACTAGATAAGGATACAAACGGTACACTGAGCAAACAAGAGCTCAAGGAATATGCAGATGGTACATTGACTGAGATTTTCATTGAAAGAGGTTAAACTCTGCCACTGTTATTTTTATACTTTATTGTTGTCCCAAAGCTAGTGTCTTTAGGCATAGATCATGAACTGTCTTTCAGAGTTTGTTCATGAATGTATAACAACAATGTGGTTGTGTTTTTCAGTTTTTGATGAGCATGTTCGCCGGAGCAAAGTTGGAGGTGGAAACAGTCGCGAGATGGACTTTGAAAGCTTTCTTGATTTTGTTTTGGCTCTAGAAAACAAAGATACCCCTGAAGGCTTGACATATTTATTTAGATGCCTTGATCTTAATGGAAGGGGGTTCCTTACAACTGCAGATATCCATACTCTATTTAGGTATGTAATTATTTATGGACTAATTTACACTATACTAGTCTGATGATAGATGCAGCCCCCCTTTTTCTGATGGCCTAATTAAAGTGTTTTAGCATAACATTTCAAACTCAAGTTTGAAAATCTATACCCTTTTGATCAATCTATTTGGCTTGAAAGCAGTACCGAACGAACTTTGGTTTTGACTTGCTCCATTGTGATGCTCTACTCTGTTATTTGTATTTTTGCGAAAATTTACCTGCCTATATAAAAGTAAAAGAGGGAAAAAGGACTGACTCTTAAACTACATGAGGTTGGCTTGAAACTTACTTTCTTGATTCAGTTGCACTACCTATTTCTGTTATTCCAAGCTGCCTAGAGTCAGCCTGTCATCATTATGGATTTACATGTATAACAATAAAAAAATTGAAATTTGTGTTAAATAGTACTGTGAAGTACAAAGCTTGGGTTCTGTTCGATTCCTATTTTGGGAAGCACCTGTATTCTTCAAGAAAAGAAAGGAGGCTGTTAGAGTTAACATTCCTACCTGATGCCATCTTCCTAGATTGAATCTGTCATTTTTTTGTGCTTGCTGAACTTTTAGTTTGTTCTGCTGGCCTTAACAGGTCGTATATCAGTTGCTTCAATAGTTAATCTCTAACCACCAGATGCTGTTATGTATTTCTGTTCCCCTTTTGCACCCACAGCCACAGGCATCCTCTATTTTATTTTTTTTTTTTTAAATTTAGTTTGAATCACCAGTTGCAATGTTGTTAGGCAACACGTGGGATGTGACTGACAAGTATTATCCCAGAAGGCTTGAACAGGGGCTGTTCGGTTGCTGTTTAGCTTTTATGCAATCTAACTAGCTAAATGTGTATTTATTAAGTCCTGTAATTTTTTACTGTAATTTGTTGATTAAAAATAGTTTCAACTATTATAGCTGATACTAGAAAATGCTCAATACAACAAGTTAGTCAACTCAGATATTTGATCATTTTCTGAATTCTGATACTCTTATTTCTCAATAGTCTTCAAAATATGTTTTCAAGTAGTGCTATAAATTCTTACAACACTATGCTAGTGGAGGCTTATGTATTGAACTTATTCTATGATGTGCCCCATGACATCAGTAGGCTGCTTTCTGTTTAATTTGATCATTCATGTTTCTCATGCAACCTTTTTCATGTTTTCAGAGACGTACACCAGAAGTGGATTGAGGGCGGGAACTATGAGCTTTGCATAGAAGATGTGAGGGATGAAATTTGGGACATGGTGAAGCCCGCAGATCCTCTCAGGATGTCGCTGTCGGATCTTCTTTCTTGCAAGCAAGGCGGGACTATCGCCAGCATGCTTATAGATGTGCGTGGCTTCTGGGCCCATGACAACAGGGAGAACCTTCTCCAGGAAGAGGAAGAACAAGTGGAAGAGGCATGAGTTCTGTTCTCCAGCTGCCTCAAAATCGCAACATCCTCGGAACTGCCTGTACCGCAGTATCAGTCACTGTAACTTAGCTAGTGTATTAGATCCGTCGCCACCTGTTTCCTGAAGCTTTTTTGTTGTAAGTGTGCCATAGTGGTCTTTGAACTTGTCGAGGCTAGCGCTGTGTGGCCATATTGTACATGTAGATTGCACCAAGCGCGAGCAATCCTGACTACGGCGTTACGCCTGTAAGCCTGTGTAATTCGTTGTATTCAGTTCGTACAAGGCTTGTGGATTGTTACTTGATTGCCTGGTTTATGCTATTTTTGCTACATCGCAGAAGCTTGCGCTCGATCAGTGGTGAAGCTCTAGCCTGTTAACCGTCTGTGATTAAATGCACCGTGGGTCCTTAAACTTTTGGTGTTTTTTCATCTCTGTCCTCGAACTATTAAAGTGACTATGTAGGTCCTCAAACTATTTCCGCGGTGCATCTATGGTCCAAAAGCAGCCACACGAGCCACATAGTCCGATGTGATGGTGCCATAGTGGCATTTGGAAAGGCCAATTTTGCAGAAAAGACCCCATGAATGTTTTGATCATTAGTGGGTACTGTAGCCTTCTCTTCCCCAATCTTCGTTAGCGTTCTTGGCTCGTCGGCCTGTCACGTCAAGCCGCTGCGCCACTTGTCGCCGTCGCCCGCATTCTCCGGTCCAACGCACGCAGCCTCCCGCCGTCGTCTGTTAGGTTGAAGATACAGCGCCTCCATGCATTCTGCGAGGACGCTCAGCAGCTCGTCGTCGGCGCAGAGGGTTGAGGCCCCAAAATTCAAGAAGCGCACTAGGCTGCCCCTTATGTCGTGCCCCACATGTGGCAAGGAGATCTTGGAGCTCACTTCTTGGGTCCAGGATCTGAGGCCCCGGGGGCCATCTTCTTCAAGTGCCGGCTTCATGAGAGAGATGTAAACCCTTGAACCATCTTGTAGCTTTCAGCTCCTTTTGCTTTTGTTAAACCCTTGCTGTATAAATTGCAGGACCCTCGAACTTGCCCTTGGTATCTGTTTGCCAACAAGTATGAGAAACTGCTGATTAAGAGGGGGGTTATTGAGAAGAGAGGGGCTACTGATGCCGGCATTAGGCCTGAGCCATTGGCTGAAGTTGAGCAGATCAAGATTGCAATTGGACGCATTGAGGGAGTACTGGAAGCCAACAAGACCGAATTGACAGCTTTGCTTGATGATGTGCTGTCTCTGAAGAATGGAAGTGATAGAGTAGCTGAAAAGCTACAGAAGTTGATAGACCTAGGAAAAATTGTAGCTGTGTGTCTTGTAGTTGTTGCTGTGTTTGTTGTTCTAGGTGTAATAATTATGTTTTTCAAGTAAAAGTGGCAGCTTAGTAATCTTGTTAATTATGTGTTCAAGTGTTATGAAAAACCTGCATCTTGTTTTAGTTAGCGTCTTGTTCAGTGAATGGAATTTCTGTTTGTATCAATGCAATATTGTCTCAGTTTATTTTATGCAATTCTCTCCATCAATTGAAGAAGTTGATAACATGCACGGGAAGATAGCAGATCAACATGCTGACATACCATTACCATCAGTGTCAATTCAGTCACTGCAATTACATACCATAGTTTAGGCCATTCCTTTTATGACCATCAAACTGCAACTAGAGAGTACATTGTCATTGCATATGATCTATATCTCTATGATCACTACACAAAAGGCAACTATTTTCATGTGCAAAAGGATGACACTACATCTTGGTACTGTACTTGCTCTTACATAAGCCCAAAGTTATTTTTTTTTTCAGATTTTTCCCTTTGAACTGTCCTTGGAAGTTGGAGTATAGGTGTCTAACACAAAACCTGTGTTCTGAGTTAGGAAAAGTTTGCTGCACAACAGGGATTAGACCTTTTTGTTTATCTGTCATGATGGTCCAAGGTGTAGTGTTCTCTTTTCCAAGATCCTCTTTCAATTTCTCTTAAGAACCACTTCCAAGAAGCAAGACACTCAACCTCGACCACTACCATTGCAACAGGAAAGATACAGTCATTAGGATCTATTCCTACAACAGTTAGCAACTGACCCTCAAATTTAGTTTTGATGCGGCAACCATCAAGACATATGACAGGCCTACATCCACTTAAAAATCCCCTCTTGCATACATCCAATGAGACATACGGTGAACTAAAACAACTATCAAGCAATTTCAAATACAAAGTGTTGCCTGAATTGTCTTCCTAAGTTCCTGCCCATAGTTCCACAAGTCAGTAAACTGCTTCACTTCATCTCCATATATCATGTTCTATGCCAGTCTCCTAGCTCTAGATAATTTGTTCCTAGATAGGGTCAAATTTAACTCCAGCTGCACTGTCCTTGCAAAAATTGTCAAAGTCATCTTCTCATCAGCTCTAAACTTGTCTACATACTTCTTGGCTAGCCATGTTACAGTACACCTTTTCAGTACCCATTTCTTCTAACAAGTATGATCCCCAACAAAAGTCTTGATCACAAAACAGTTCACCCTTCTATCTAATGAAACATACAAGTACTATGGACAATCTTCATCACAATGAGCTTTGATTCTAATCCTATCATTCTTGGTCATCTTTATCTCCACTCTATTCTTGATACTATATTCAATAATAGCCTTTCTAAGCACCTCTACTGAATCAAACTTCATGCCAACTTTGAAAATTGGGTTGTGCAAATCTTCTGGTATGAAACTTCTCATGTTCTGTCTAGCCTGACTCTCTTCATCAGATTCTAGTAACTCCAATTCTTCTTCATCAGAGTTCAACTCATCCCATTCTCTGCCTGCTGAGTCCTTGTCTGTGCCAGTTGGGGCATTTCTTTTCCTCCCTGCTCTGACTATTGTCCTTTTGCTGCACCCTCATCAACCACCCCTTCATCAACATTGTCACAAAACAGGTCATCATCACCATCATCAACATCATATGTCAACAAAATCCACTTCTGAACTGCCTTCACTATCATCACCATCGGCAGAATCTGTCCTAGGAGAGACAACCACCTTTGTAGGACTGATCACTTTGGGTAAGGTTGCAATTGGATTGAACGCAATGTCCTCCTAGTTGTTGCTATCAATTGAATTGTAATGGTCCATAAAAAGCACATAGTTCTTGACCTTAAATGCAACTTGCTTCATTATCTGTGCTTCTTTATCCGATTCAATCAAACGCAAACCGGTTGACAAGTCCATCTCAGGCAACAACCAATTCACCGGGACACCCAGATCATAACCTAGCACCACTGATATCTCATCTACTCCAGAAAAAGACCAGTACTTCACCTTGACATGATTGAACCAATCAACCTTGCCATCGAGCTACACCAGATCTACACCAGACCCACAGAAAAAGCCACCATGATGCACTTTCACTGAAAACTCTTAATCGTTAGGCCCTCAAGAATGAAAATCAACCCTAAAATCGAGCACGTAACCGGAGCATAGCCACCAAAATAGTATGTCGCCTACCGGACCTACTACTACGGCTCCAAATTAATAGCAATAGATAGCATTGAGTATAGGGATATCGACTCCCAGACACTTACCATAGATTGGTGCCGCTTCCCCTTTCAGCCGCCGACGACTGACATGGTGCCGTCAAGACAAGAAATTTGTGCGACCAAGGCGACACCCATCATGGAGCTCGGCCGCCACCGACGAACTCGTGCCTTGGCTTCACTACTCCCTTTCCATGAGTTCGCCACCACCCCAACCCACCCTCGCCTCTTCTGTCCCGGCTAAGAAAGATTGGGGAAGAGAGCGGCTAGAGTTGGAAGTGAGGAAGACAACGTTCACAAAGTGGTTTTTTGATAAATTATGATGCCGTGAGCTTCCATACGCCACTATGGCACCGCCACGCCGGACTATGTGGCTCATGTGTGGATGCACCGAAAAATTCAAAGCTAAACTTCCATCCATTGTCCAATTTTTCTTGCTTTCTTATTGTTGTCTCGTTGTTGCTTCCAAATATGTTATTTTAAAATTTAAATTGCCATGCTTCTCTCTCTCTGGGTGAGGATTTTATATCCCGTTGTTTTGTGCGAGAGGGGGAGAAACAGAAACAAGAAAGCTGTTGGGCCTAAATTGGCCCAGAAATGGCACAAGCCCAGATACTATTCCATGGCTTTTCATTTCAAATCCCCTTCTCTCTCTACTCCCATCTCTAGTAGTCCAGTCCACTCTGCGACTGTTGTGGGATCAGCAAATCAAACCAACCCATCAAACACCAAAAATCCCCGCACGAGCTCCGGTTTCAAATTCCCTCGGCAGAGCTCGCCGCCGGGGATGGAGGCAGCGCGGGAGTCCATGGCGGCGCTCCTCGACGCCGGCCTCTTCGGGCCCGCCCAAACGCTGGTACGTGCCGCGATTCCTGCCTCCCCTTCCCCTCCTTGCCTTCCATCCTCCCCGCGCCTGAATCTCTAGGGTTTCGGGGGAGCAGAAGCGGGTTCGGGGTTCGCCGGTAGCGTCTGGGGCAGGGCTAAGCCCCTTGCATGCGACGTGTGCGAGCGGGGTTGGGTTGCTGAATTGGGTGATGGAGCGAGGTTTCCGTCGCAGCAGTGATTACTCATTTACTCTTCTCCTTCACTTGCAGGGGTGTTTCCTTGTGTCGTCGGCGGGTGCGGGCAACGATGCTGGCATGTCCATGAAGGTGGAGAGCCTGGTAAGCCCAAGCTTCCTTGACCAGCAGCTCTGCAAGTGGTGCTTGTTTGGACTAACTTATTGCTATGATTCTGTCAACTCCTTTTCCTGTCTCACTTCTGATGCCATATTGCGGAAACTAAACGGGTTGCAATGCACAGATTAGTTTCTTGATAGTCAATGCACGGATTGCCCCTGCACCCAGTTCTGTTCCTTACAGGGCCTTTTTTTTTGAGCTGATGTGCTTGTTGGCCTACACCGCAGGTCCAGCATGGTGATGCTTTGTATGGAGAGAAAGAGTTCCATGAGGGCACTGGTAATATTTCCAAAAAAAAAAAAACACTCATGATTGGCTTACAAGAAGTTGCAGAAGTAAAACACATCAATTGCTGATATCTCCGTTGCTAATTTCCCTTTCTTCCATGGCAGAATGCGTACAAGCAAGCTATGCAATATAGTAGAAGTATCCCTAGGCAAGCAACAAGTAACACCAGAAGTGCAGTATCCGCCATAGGCCGGTCACCTTCTCCAAATTCTTCGAATCTCTTATCATTCAATGAAAATGAGGTGTGAATGGCTGAATATGGCACTCTTGTGTTCTCATGTTGATATCTATTATTCTATTTACGTCATTCAGTTTTGCTGTGCTGTTGCAGGTGAAGTTTAAGATCGCTCTTTGCCATTCTGCTCTATGTGAGCACCGTGAAGCACTTCATGAGGTTACTTGTTTTTCGTTTTCTTATGTCTATTCTTCATTTTCAACCTTATTATCCTGTTTTAAGAATACAGATGATGTGATATATATGCTTTCTGCAGATGGAAGGTATTCCTTCGAAAGTGAGAACACTGAAAATGAATATGATGTTAGGGAAGCTTTATCGAATATCAAGAAATAGCCGTACAGCTGCTGTCTGTTATAAGGAGTGCTTGAGGTATAACATATCAAAGAAATTGCTTCCTTGGAGATTGTGTTCTCCAACTTCTTCGACATAAGTTGCCCAATTTGTTCTTCTATAGCAAGTTCTTTCTAAACTTGGTTACAGAAACCGCTCAACTTTTCTATGCTCACAAGACTGTCTACATCTCCATACTTCTCTGTCAGGCAATGCCCTTATGTTTTCGAGCTATCACAGCTTTATGGAAATGGGGCTTTCAGCAAAGGAATTTTCTTTATTATTTCCACAAGTAAGTATGTTTTGTTTGCTTATAAGCTGTAAATAGGAAGTTCTGAGGGCAGATAAGTTTTAACTTCGCATGGTAGAATTCAGGGCTTCTCTGTGCTTCATTGTCAGATGTCCTGGTCGTCAACTTTATTGTTTGTTTGAGCTATCAGAATCTATTCATGCTCTACATGCCTGCCAGATTTGCAACAAAACTTGATAGGCTGTTTCAACAAATCCGTCCGCTTTGAACTCGAAAGTTTTTCCAAGAGATGCTATTGTTTCCTCTAATCTATTGTACAACATTTGAGCTATCAGAGTCTCTTCATTTTTTTTACATGCTTGCCAGATTTGCAACAAAAATTGATAGGCTATTGTTTCCTCACTACAACAAAAAACCATCACTTTGCATTTTATACCAAAAGATGTTGATATTGTCAATCCTGTGAGCAAGTTCTTACTTTTTCCATTTCTGAACGCTGAAATTTTCTTCTCATTTTGTACACAGTACCTTAGCATGATCTGACAATCACAGAACCATATCCCGTCAAACCTTTTATATTTTTTACATTTGTTCTGTTTCTGTACATATAATCCATATGGACTGTTGGGTTTCATTTTTGTTTGAACACCACATACGACACATGTAAAGCTTTATAGAAACAATAATACGCATACATCAGTTTATTCAACAACCTTTTCTCTGTAAATTTTAGTCATTAGTCAGTTAAACTTCCTTGCAGGCACCAAATAGAGGAGGCAAGGTGCCAGGTGACTTTGTAGATGCACAACGTTGGTGGAGTGTAAGTGAACAATGTTGAGGCATAAACGTGCATAGCACTCGATGCTTAGTCTTAAACATCCTTCTCTATCAAGTAACTAGATTCACAACATTGGTGGAGTGTAAGTGAACAATGTTGAGGCATAAACATTCATGCCACTCAATTTTTAATCTTAAACAGCTTACTCCATCAAGTAACTAGATTCGTGGCTGCCATCTTATGTTTGATTTGCTATTAATTCTCATAAACCATTGGACTCCAAAACCACATCATGCATATATAAATGCTAAACTCTGTTAAATTGAAACTGTATGCCAATGAAGTCATCACCTTTTTAGCTCCCATGTTTTGAAACATTGACACAGCCCTGAGTATAGCTAGGGATGAAGCCCACTGGTGGTGTATGGCAGGAGCAAAGGGTCTTTCCTTGCTCACTGCTTGGGGCTTTTAGTTTTTTAGCCCGCTCGGTCGTTGTATACCCTTGTGACTGATTAGGGGTACCGTCGATTTGTACAAGTCGTCCGATTAATCGTCCTAGTCGGTCCCATGGTGACTAGGTTCGACTGGACGACTTGAAAACATTGTTGTATACTCAGAAACAGGTGCTTAAGCCTTAGAAAACAGGGAAGGTGTGGAGGGGTGTGTGAGTGTGTTTGGGTCTATGTATGACTCCTTTTTCTTCTACTAATACAATGATACGCAGCTCTCCTGCGTGTTCGAGAAAAAAAATGCTTATTTTTGTGTGTTAGGGGTGGGGAATGCATCTGGCCTCTTTCTGATTATGTAGATTGCATAATTTGCCACCAATTCTGCAACTTATGTGCATGTTTATGTCTGCCACGTTGCACTGTCATTGATGAAGTGTGATAGATATGTTTCTTTCAGAACAGTACTTGTTATTGCAATTTTAAATTTAGTTATGGTTTTCAAGAAACTGTCAACTCATCCAGAGATATCATCATACTGCATTGTTCTTTTTATAGATTGGTTCAGATTGATTATTCACTTAAATTATAATTTTCTTGACAGCGGTATGTTGAGGCGCAGTGTTGCATTGCTTCACATGATTATAAAGGTAACATAAGTGTCCTTATGAAACATTTTATCTGAGGATTCCAACATATAGTTGAATTTTGTTGAACTTTTGAAGTTATAATTCACATTCTCATTGAGAGCGTCCATTATTATTATTGTTAGATGATAAATGATCTAGAATCAGCATTGACTCTTGGCCACTGAATGTAACTTTGTAGTTGACACTTCCTAACTTTTACTTGTATCTGTTAAACATAAACTTGTAGCTTTGAAAGTATTTTTACAGGGATGTCATTTCTTTATATTTACTAGTTAAGTGCCCGTGCGTTGCTACGGGTATACATAGAATCTCATGACAGATAGCCGCACGTGTAGAACATATGTAAAATCTCATCCATCCATTCATTAACAATTTATTTGACATAAAGCTAAATATTAACCATAGAAGAAAAGAGGCATGTTAGAAAATAATAACCATCACGTTACAAATTAAACATAAATTCACATATAGTTATTAAAAATATATTATAATATAATGAGTGCATCCTCTCAGTAACATGTCCACAAGATCATCATATGCTACTTGTCTCCTATTGTTCCCAAACTTCTTCTATTACCTGAAATGCAGATGGATACGACAAATGTCAGTAACAAAAGACACAAATGTAAGAAAATATAACAGCTATACAAAACAGAAGACAATAACTTTTATAGAGTGAGGACCTCCTTGTAGACAATATTTTTCGTGTATATACCATTTATTTTCGTCTTTTTTTTTCTTATCCTTGTTATCACTTGGTGGGACGGCAAGGATCCTAATGTTCGATCTGGCAGTGGCTCTAGATAGCGCAACATACAACTGACCATGAGAGAACACTGATTCAGGCAAATACACACCAGCATGGGGGATAGTCTGCCCCTGAGCCTTGTTAACCGTCATGGCAAAGCTGAGTCTAACCAGAAACTGCTTCCTCTTGAACTGGAATGGGAACATCTCATCATCCGAGGGGCATAACGGAATCCGTGGTAGGAAGATTCGCTTTCCGCCATGGTCTCTGACCATAATTTCTGCATCGATGGTATTTCGTTGGAACCCTCGAACCACCAGCCTCGTTCCATTGCAAAGTCCACTCGCAGGGTCGATGTTCCATAGCAATATGACCGGGCACCCAATCTTGAGCTTTAACACATGTTGAGGGAGACCGTTGGGGGTCAAAGTGTTGAGGAACTCAGATGGGTAGTAGTTGTGTGGATCATCAACCGCACTGTCAAAGCTATGATACACCATCTCATCCCCTTGGAAACGGCTTATCATCTTCATGTTAATCATATCAACCCAGTCGTTCCGCGTAGATAATATTGCTCGTGAGGTGATGTAACTCTTGTTTGACATATTGGCATTGAGGGCAGGGAATATGCAGTCAATTAACGTATCAAGATCACTGTCTTCCTCGGTCTGTGGTATCATTATTGCAAAAGCAGTATTCCACGGGAAAAATATATTGTTCTATCTTAGGGGCAGGTTCATTATTGCAAAAGCAGTATTAAAGCATGGAATATATAGATAGGCACACATAGAGTACTCACTGCTCAAGAGTACTGGATGCTAAATCTGAACAGTGTATGTAAACTAATATAATGTATGTTCAACAATCTATATAACACTGAGGCAAGTTTAGGTAACAAACAAATAGGTGTGACCAAATTCAATAATTTTCATCGGTAGCAGCCCAAAGATCATTATCGAAATATATGGAACCAAGTTGCAGCTCTAAAAGCTAAGTGACGATTTAGATTCTGCAAACTTCCACAAGTTTCTAACAACCCATAAGGGGTGCCAAAATCATCAAATGGGACCATGTGTTCCTAAGAATCCCTTTAAAATTAAATACCTAAGAAAGTCTACTTATCAGGTCTGCGAATAAGTTAAGGATTGAAATTCATATGTATCCATATATGAGCTGCTACTGCTAAAACAAACTGACTGAATTCTAAAAATGATGTAGCCGAACCACATACCAGAAAAAGATGGAGCAAACAGCAGGGATACATGTTTTGCATTCAGTGAATCCAAAGGTTATTCAGAAGTAAATCCAAGGTAATCAATGTAATTTCTTGATTATTTTCAGTTAATCGTAGCATTCACAGGTATAGGCTGAGGTTATTCAAAATGAATCCGAGGTTTCTCACATCTAATGAGGACTCTTACTCTCACATCTACAGATTCTCTTAAAACTGCAGTTGACAGAGGCAACACTGAGGTCTATAAAATTAGTTTCCCCATAACACCACTGAAGTTAGCTTTCGAAGCCTGGACCACTGAATTGAGAGCAGTCTAATTTTTAAGAGACTATCATTAAACATTATTGACTATGTAATGGTCTATCATTAAACAGCCGTCGTATGCATGTGTGTGGACCTGGTGAAATTCAGAAGATGGGTACATCTAAGATAAGCAAGTCCCAAGTTAATCTGTGATACATACTTTTGTGCAAAACAAGCAATCGGTGGCACAAGTGCAGAGGCATTTAGTATGGCCCCTGATGGTGAGCAATGGCAGTTTGTACTGGCTCAGTGACGTGAATAAATTCAAGTTTACATCGGCAACATAAACTTCCAGAGATGTTGGGCAGCATATCGATATCAATCACCAATTTGAAAGTAGCGGTAGCAAGCCAAGAACACAGAGGCTCAGCATGGCAGTTCGATGCAAGTAGCAGCATGCCAGCAGTGCAGCCCATGAGAAGGAGATGCTAGCTAATTAGCTTAGGTGGTCAGGTTAGCTGCAAGATAGATATATGACTCCAGGGGGTACAGGTTAACTGAATGACAGTATACTGAAATTAGCATATAGAATTTTGAGGTGGCTGCAGAGAGATTGTGATTCAGAGATGAAAGGCACGAAGGCAGTTGCAGTGTCCTGGCATCCTGGTTTGTGTTCACAGTAACCATTATTCGGTGCAAGCCTTGTGCATGCATTTTTAGTTGTTCTACTAAAAAAAACTCTTAAACATACTTGTCGACAGGGATGATCTGATGACACCCAACTTGTGCACCACTGGCAACATGTTGTAGATAGTCAGATGAAAAGCAGTGCAGCAAATTTCTAGTTCCCAATTCTGCAGAATCAACAGTGATGCAAATGCAAATTTGTAGACAATTTAGATGGAGTTCAGCAAAGCACTGAATCTGTATACATTCTTATCCCGACCATCTATGCCAAATGTGAAATCGGCCACAATGACTCTGAAACTACTGATTTATTACCACAGTGACTCTGAAACCGCAGTGACTCTGAAACTACTAATTTACCACATCACATGTGTAATTGGCCATCTATGCTATTTTGAAATCTGAAACCACAGTGACTCTAAAACTACTAATTGCAGGGAACTGAAAGGGAATTACGCCAATGAAAAGCAGGGGGTTTGGGGTTCGGACTGCTCACCGGTGGAGTGAAGGAACGTCGCAGAACCGGGGTGGCGCGCCGGGCGGCCGAGCAGCAGGGTGTCGTGGCCGCAGATGTTTGGCGGTGCAGCACAGGGACGTCGGAGCCGCGTCCTCGACTCTGCGTGCTAGTCGTGGCCGTGGACGGCGTCTCGACGTCGGACGAGGCCGCGGCGGATCTCGGGCTTGCCGCTTGGTACGGACGAGGCTGCACCCGGCGACGCAGGAGAGGCAGCCGCAACGCCGGCGTGCACGACCCTGACTGTGTGGGAGCTGGCGTGCAGGGGCTTGCCGCTTGTGGCGGATGAGGCTGCGTCGGGCGACGCAGGAGAGGCCGCCGTGCACGACCCTGACTGTGTGGGAGCCGGTGTGCAAGGGCTGGCGGCGGCGTGCGGACGAGGCTGCAACGACGGCACGGGTGGGAACGACCCTGACTGTATGGGCGCCGGCGTGCAGGGCCGGGGCTGGCGGCAGCGTCGGAGCGGGTGCGGCGTCGGAGCGTGGGAGGCGTGGGTCATGGGGAGGCTGGGGCACGGCAGTTTTGGGTTTGCGGGAGGCTTCGCGCTGTGCGAGGTAATTAGGGGTAAGTGGTCCGATTAGTCTAATCTGATGATAACACGTGATTCTTTTTAGTTGTAGATATCAGTAATTGATACTCCATCTGATCCAAAATGTAAAGTCATTTTAGGATTCATTTTGGTCAAACTTCTGTCTCTTTGACCATCAACAGATAAAAAAAATCATGTTCACTGAAAATGTATGGTTGATGTTATTAGATTCACCACAAAAAATACTTTCATAATGTGTATTCCTTTTCATTTGATGTAGATTATTACATAATATTACTTTTTGTAGACTCCACTTGTATATCTTGGACATTAAGTTGCAGATTTTAAATCAGTAGCAATGACATGTATTCATTTCTAGCGATCGCATAATAACTAGGCTTACTGTTGCTTGTTTTTTATAGGTGGCCTTGACATATATCTAGAACTAATGCAACGGTTCCCCAATAATGTGCATTTCTTGCTGGAAATTGCTAAGGTTTGTCTTTCTTCACTTCTCTAATCTCCCTTATTGAATTAAGGGCTGTCAAGGTCTCTCAGATTTTTCTTGGATCATACATCCCTTCAACTTTGATGTCAGTGTGCTTGTCAGTGTCTAGAGAACAAGTGAAGTTAATTGTTCATTTCCAGCTTTATTTTGGTGGTTTTTATGACCTTTCTTCATGTGTTGATCTTGATATTTGAGCTTCTTGTTTGAAGGTTGAAGCCATCATAGGCAGGAATGATGAAGCGATAATGAACTTTGAGAAGGTAAATTGAAAATGTACAGAGCTAAAGCCCCTGATTCGGAAATCGTGTGAACAAGTAACAAGGTTATATAAACATTTGCTATATTCACTGTTGTTTCTTTCCTTTTTTTTTGCAGGCCCGGTTTATTGATCCAAACATCATGACATATATGGATGAGTATGCAATTCTTCTAAAGTCAAAATCTGACTACATCAAACTGAATAAGTTGGTATATGATATGCTGCATATTGATCCTGCAAGACCAGAGACATGTGTTGCTCTTGCAGCAATGTGGGAAAGAAAGGATGAAAGAAAAGCTTTGACATATGCAGAAAAGGTAAATACCTTGTGGGTTTGATGGAAACTCACCTTCCATCTAATGCTCCTTACGATGTCTTCCTTTTCAGAGCCTCCGAGTTGATGACAGGCATATAACTGGCTATATTATGAAGGTAATACTGCAAGATATTGTCTATGCAACTGGATTTACATTATTATGGTAATTCCTCTTGCATTACAATTTGCGAAGCACAAGGATGGTTGCTGCTTATTTTCTCTGGGAAGTTCATGTTTAGATTTTGTGTCTGCTACCATCTTTGCTTTTTTAGGATCGCCATCTTCCATTGCTAGGGCATATCATGATTTTCCCTCATTGGTTTGTCATTGTTTGCCTACTGTTCTTTCAAGGGCAATCTGCATCTTTCATTGAATCGACCAGATTTGGCAGTGACAGACTTTAGGGGGGCTCAAGAATTGAGAGCTGATCTTCGTTCTTATCAAGGTTGGTAGGCTTGGTGCATCTGATATTCAAAGGCTTGGTGCATCTGATATTCAAAATCTATTGTCATATTGTTAGTCTAAATAGAGGTATTCTCCAGGTTTGGTGCGTGCTTATCTAGCACTTTCTAAATGCAAAGAAGCATTATTCACTGCACGTGAGGCAATGAAGGTTCTGCATCAGTCTGCAAAAGCTCTCAAGCTAGTTGGCGATGTTCATGCAATTAGTTCTAGTGGGAGGGAGAAGGTAATCTTATTTTGCCATGGGTCACTGATTCAAGGATTATATATTTTTTGGGGTTCTGGAAGCAATCATGCCGCTAGATAGCTAGTATGTTTAATCAGCTGCAGGTGGGCTGCTGTACTGCAGTAAAAAAACTACTGTCCTAGCTGCAGGATAAGCCTGCAAAACTTATTAGCTAAGGGACACTACTAGTCTACCAAAAGTCTGTCCCTACTGCACTTCTAGTCTAGTGTTCTCGCTGCAGCTTGACTGCTATTCAGCCTTTGAAAGTTGTCTGCAGTTTGCAGACTTCTACTAGTGTTCTCACCAAGCTGCAGCCTTGACTGAAGATTGGTCTGCATTTGCAGACTTCTGTGCAAGACCAGCAGCAGATTATTCAACAAAGGATCCTCTTAAGACAAGTATATGTGCTTTGTAACCTGCTTTCTTTTCTCAATTAAGTTACTGTGACTTCATTGAAATTGACTTGTATATATCTTTTCAAATGGACATCTTGTGATTCAACTCTGTACGCTATTATTGGATGATACTACCTGTTGGTCGATTGTGCTGATATAGATATCATTGCATCACTTACAGGCAAGAAAGTTCTATGAATCAGCCATTCGTCTTGAACCTGGATTTCTTGGAGCTGCGCTGGCCCTGGCTGATCTGCATGTTGTGGAAGGACGGAATAAGGAGGCTGTTATGCTACTGGAAAAATATCTAAGACAATGGGCAGATGATTCTCTACACATCAAGTTGGCTCAAGTACATGCGGCAACAAATATGCTTTCAGATGCACTTTCCCATTATCAATCTGCACTAAGGTGCGCATTAGTAGCAATTCTGCAGTAGCATTCATCATCTATTAACCTTTTCGTTGCTGTTGGTTTGAATCCTGAAGACGTGGTAGATAAATAAAGTTTAGTATATGAATATGTAGGAGTAAATCTGATTATTGAGGTAAGATTTTGGTGATAGTTCCTGGGGTTGGGTTTATGTACCATCTACAAAATGTAAATAAATAACTAAATTGTGGAAAGTTTTGTACTAATCATGTTTCTCCTTCAATTTTAAATTGAAACTTGGCTCTTGATGTTAGTACCATGGTTTTTCTTCCAACCACGGCCTGAGATAGCTATGACAGGATTGGGTGGGTTAGCTCAATAATTTGTGTCTTCAACTAATATTTTGATTATTCTGCCGATTTTGGAAGAAGTGAACTATTCTGAATTGACAATCAGATAATTCACTTCCATCCTTATCCTGCAAGGCCCAAACCGCATGCTTACAGCTCAAAAGCTACCCAAGAAGCATCAGAGTTTTGTAATTGATGTATGAGTAAATAACTTACTTTCTTTGTTCTGATAAGCTTTGTTCCTGTTTATTTTAATCCAACTTTGTGGTACAAATCAACTGGTCTGATATTGCCCCTGCGGTTACTGACTCCGTGCTTAGTATTCTGCCTTGTGCCTTCCTATTTCTTGGTATTACCTTCTAGTTCATGAAAAGGGAACTCAATTGTGTTTCAGAATAAACCCACAAAATGAAGCTGCAAAGAATGGATTGGAGCGCTTGGAAAAACAAATGAAGGTTTGTGCAGTTCACAACTACTCCCTCCATTCCAAATTATAAGTCATTCTTTCTAAGTAGGTAACTCTTCCTATGTATCTAGTTATATGTTATATCTAGATACATAGAAAAAACTATTGTATTTAGAAAAGCCAAAACGATTTATAATTTGGGACTGAGGCAGTATATCATACTGATTAGCTCACCAACTTTCAGTTCTTGTTTTCATGTTTTGCTTCGGTCTACCTTTATACTCCTTTTGCTTTCCCAACCTTATTTACTCGTTTCTAAATATCCTACTGGTGCAAGATAACTAGCATTGCCTCATTGCCTACACTTGTTTTTCATGTGCAGGGAGTGGACCCAGATGCTCCGGAAGAGGAGGAAGAGAATGAGGAGGATGATATCGATGATCGAGATGAGTTTATTTGAAGCTAGAAGATGATGCATATATTCAGCCTCTTACCTGGTTTCATTACAGGTCTCTTATACTTGCTGGAAGGTGGCGCTGATTGATCGCGATCATCTTTGTATAGCGGTGGCAGCAGTGGTTGTGTTACTTACTTGTAACTGAATAGCAGGTGTTCTAGCGTTGCTGTGCTCAGAATCCAGGTGTTTGTTGGGGCGAAATATGCCCATGAGCTTGTAAAAATGCCGACCCAAACGGTACAATTTAACTTACTAGATTTTGGCCGTGATGTATGCTATTTCCTTTCACTTTCGTTTTGCGAAAAGTCGAGAACGTACGAATAGTCGTAAAAGAAAATATAACTACTACATCACAGAAGTTCGAATGAACCTGCTTGTACACTTTCTGAATACTACAACTGGGATGACTGAACTGTGAACAAAATCTGCAGACTAATCAATCGATGCTCATGTGGTCTAGATGCTTTTATTAGCAGAAGAGCAGACAATGGCAAAACAGTATCCTTATTGATACTTCAGCAAAAAAAAGTGTCAAAATGTTTTCAGCTGAGTAGAATGGGCACGTAACTGCACATGTACGATGCAGAAATTTGGAACTGTTGCAGACTCCTACATGTCTATGCCATCGTGACAGGAATGCATAAGCGCCCTAGTTTTTCTTTGGGTATTCTCTTGCACCAAATATGGTTGACCCAACTCTTACATTTGTGCTTCCCATTTCAATCTGCAGGCACATAGAAACAACGTATATCATTATTAATGCAGCTATCAGCCTACCATGTCTCTTCCGCACTCACAGATCACAGTATCTCCCTTACCGCTTGTACAAAATCAGCTGACATGCCCATAGACAGTTCGCACTGCTCTTCGGGTATTCCAAGCTCCTTGCACACCTCTTCCCGGCAGTTAGCCAGTGTCTATGAATTTAACATACGTAATACACATTAACACACATATGAATGCCATATTGCCACTCCAACAAAATTTCTGTATCCCAGAATATATTTTTACCTTGAAATTCTCAGGCGTTGAGGAGTAATCGAGCATCCCAATTGTCATCAAACCAGAGAACACAAGGTTTGGGCAGTTCAATTTGACATGCTTTGCTAGTTCGGCACATCCTGAGGGATGTACTCCAAATTTCGCTGAAATAGAAAAATAGTATTCAGAACTACATACATACATGAGCTCTGGGCATGCTCGCAGATCAGCCTACAGCTTCCAAATGCTTATCGAAGACTAAAACAATGTGCTGCATATCAACTATCAATGCTTAAAACTAAATGGAACACAGTTTCCACATTCCGAAACCACTATAACCAAGCCCAAAGTGAGAACTTTCATCCTTTCAGTATCGTATTGAAAAAGGAAACTAAAGACCAAGTTCACACTAGTAATGAGAAAGGAAACAAGAGTACTTACATTCTTCTCCACTAGTGTTGACTTGGATCAAAATCTTAAGAGGTTTTCTCCCCAAGTCAGCTACCACTCGATCAAGACGGTTAGCAATCTGAAAGAATGATTGTTACATCTAATCTGGTTACAGATTCAAGATTGAAAAACTGAGAGGACATCATGACGAGTAACCCAAAGGTCTATGACACAGCTATCGTTAGTTAGGACCTAAGTTATGCAACAAAATCTTGCTGTACAGAAGAATGATAAATCTGAAGCCTATATACACCCAAGTTGAATATACATAATGAACGGCACTATCTTGTATAGCCAGAAGATAACAAGTTATACTCGATGCTGATAGGGATGAGTCTGACAGTATAATGTTTTCCTCCTTTTTGACTCAGCAAAGGAGACACTTTTACTTGAAGGTAACCAAGTGAGTGGCGGAGTGAGCTACTGATGTATGAGTGCCTCAAATGTAAGTGTTTCCCAAGTTCAAAAAAAAAATGTAAGTGTTTCCCAGAACCAAGAAAGCAATTTATGGAATCACAAGATAATATTAAATTGATCACATACCTTCTCATCATCTACACTCTCAACCATATCAAGGTTTGGCACGCCAGCTAGAAGTTAAAGGAACGAGAAAAGAAACATTAGCTCAAACCATGAACTAGATAAGGGCATAAGGCACAAGTGCCAAAATCTGTACAGAATCAAAATAAAGTAATAAGATACAAGACAGGAACTCTGCAAAAACAAGAAAATAGATGCCCCCTCTACTCTTTTTTACTTATCATTTGATGATGCAACTGCCGTGACATTTTAAAACATTAACCTCCTATATATGCAAAGTCGTATTTTTAATAAAGTCAATACCTTTGTATTTTGAACAATTTCTGACATATAACTATATAAGTAGAAAAATAATGGTAAAAACAGTAGTAGGAGAGCATGCCAATGTATATACGTAAAAAATAACAGAAGTAGTACGAACCAAGTAGGGCTCTGGCTTTGTTGCTTTGCAGATTCCCAATGAAGTGCCACTCAATATCCTCAGGAAGCTACAATGAGAAAAACACTTGATTAGACACTAACATGATTTGATTGAAAAAGATTAGGTAATTGACAGCAAGTACACCCTCCATTCCAAATTATAAGACGTTTTGGCTTTTCAAGATACATAGCTTTCACTATATACGTAGATATACATTATGTCTAGATACATAGTGAAAGAAATGTATCAAAAAACCCAAAACGTCTTATAATTTGGAATGGAGGGAGTATTAGAAAGCATGCCCTGCGAGGTGCGAGGAAACTTATGACATTGGATCCATTAGAACTTCAGAAAACATCCCCAAAAGTAATGAAAATGGAAAGGTTGTCAACTTTCATTAGCTACTGGATAATAATGATTGACCAACTGTTGTCCAACTAGCACCCCCATATCACAAATTTTATACCCTCTAGTTGCTGGCACGGACCTACTTCTCATGTTAAATGGAGAGAAGTTAAAGATGAATTGATAGCATTTCCACCACATTATCATTTACTGAAGATAGATTTAGAATATGAACAAAGCTGCTATACACTTTCTAGGATCAAACATAGCAGTTTGAATAGTACAGATAATATGTCCATTTCATTAGTTCAAATGCATTCTGATGTGGTGCCTCTAGCAACCAAACTTGTGGTCCTTTCCAGCTTACCAATTATTCTACTTAACCTGCAATTGACTGTAAGGGAAGTCACTGACATCCATGTCATTTACGGCTGTGCAGAACAACTTGAAATGCTCGATTAAATTTACTCTTTACTGCTTTGAATTTTCATGCAAAAAATAATTCTTTAGTGAATCGAATTTGGCTGCCAAAAAAAAAATCAATATTTGGCACCCATTGGTATTTAGATCTTCCTTTTAAACCTAGGAACAAAAAATTCGAAGCTCGTCACTCTCAAGATATTGATCACACGAATCCGGATACTAATGGCGCAGTTGCCAGGACTCAGCGAGAAGCTTAAATTAACGAGATGCTGTCTCTAATTTCAATGTTCCATCCATCAGGTTATCAATTTGCATGATATGGGACCAAAAGCAAGGTTTTGGTGGAGCGAGAAACCGGGTGAACAATTCAACCCAACCTGAGGCGCCTTGTCGATGAGCTCTTGGACGTAGTTCTCGCCGAAGCAGCGGTGGCCCGCGTCGTAGACGCCCCGGATGACGGGCACCGGCTTGGTCTTGCTCACCGCCACCACGCGCACGGACCCCGGCGCGCGCCCCGCCCGCGCTGCCGCCTGCTGCGCGCGCGACAGCACCGAGCGGAGCGCCGCCGCCGCGCCCTCCGCCGCGGCCACGGACGCCATCTCCGCCTCCGCCGACGACCCGCCCTCCGTCGACGATGCCACCGCTGCCGTTCAGGCGGGAGCTAGAGAAAATAGGGAGGGGTGCGGCCGTGCGTGCTAATGGCAATCCCTATGAGCTGCGCCCCTGTTTAATCATCGGCGTCCGGGATCGGACATTTTTAAACGAAGATGATCAAAATCTCTATTCCTGTCCTAAATGAGTTTGACCTGTCAACAGGATAACCAGTTAGAAAGACTTATGTCGAAAATAAGTCTCGAAAAAAACTTCAAATTTTTTTATACCCATTACTCATTCTCTAAATGCTAAGACTAAGCCAATTTCTAAGGAAGACCAAATGAAAAAGGTTAAAATTACATCTCTTGATTAATTGATCGAACACAACCTCGAAGATGATGCCCAGTTCTTCGTCGAGGAGGAAGAGGAAAATCCTACGGACCCTAAACTCTTAGATGAATTGTTGGAACCACCTAAGCTCGTCATTGAGCTTCAACCTCTGTCATCTGGTCTTAGATATGTTTTTCTCAACAATGATCAGGATTCTCCCGTGATCATAAGTGATTTTCTCAAGAAGAATCCATCCGCTTGATAACTGTCTTAAAAAACATCGCTCTGCTTTTGACTACTCGCTCCAAGACCTTAAGGGAATTAGCTCTGCTCTTTGCATCCATCGCATCCCTATAAATCCTAATTCTATACCTTCTAGGGAGCCGTAGCGTAGGCTTAATAATGCGATGAGAGAGATTGTTAAGATAGAGGTGTTGAAACTCCTACACGCCTGGATTATCTACCCCGTTCCGTACAGTGAGTGGGTAAGCCATGTTCAAATTGTACCTAAAAAGGAAGGCATGACTGTTGTTAAAAATAAAAATAATAAATTAATCCCCCAAAGAAACATCACTAGATGACAGATGTGCATTGACTAGTGAAAACTTAACAAGGCAACAAGAAAAGATCATTTTTCATTGCCCTTCATTGATGAAATGTTAGAGCGACTGAGAAATCACTCTTTCTTCTGTTTCCTTGATGGGTATTCAGGTTATCACCAGATTCTGATCCATCTAGATGACCAAAGCAAAACCACATTTACATGTCCATATGGAACTTATGCTTATCGTAGAATGTCCTTTGGACTATGTAATGCTCCAGCTTCTTTCCAAAGATGCATGATGTCTATATTTTCTGATATGATTAAAGAAATCATGGAAGTTTTCATGAATGATTTTTCTGTTTATGGAAAAACTTTTGATGATTGTCTTGAAAATTTAGACAAGGTTTTGCAAAGATGTGAAGAAAAACACTTAGTACTTAATTGGATCCTTTGTAGTCCACCTCCCGTTTATAGGCATAGCAAGACCTTGTTACTATAGGAAACATACTCTGCTTTTTCTTTAGTAATATCTCCAGAATTGAACAATAAAAGACAAAGCTTACCGAATTTAGAACTAGAAGACCTTTGTGATCTTCTCTATGCTCCTATTATCTAGCCTTAATCGTGAAGTTGGACTAAGTTAGATTTAGTTATAAAGCCTGCTTATAAAGCCAAGGCCGGGGTGATTGGGAAGGCAAGCCAATCGTCACCCATGAACTGAAGCGACATATTAATCACATGCCACGCGTAATCCTCAGAAGTTGAGCCGGCGTGGCCACTCGAGTGCCTGACAACCGCTGCCTGACTCAGACGGAGACCGCGTTGACAAGACAAGATGACTCCAGAGTATGGCTTATTTTATTTTACAGCTCATCATCCAACTATGCGACCCTATAACTTCTACCTGACCAGCCTCGTTCTCACGGGTATGAATTCGGGCTCTTGAGATAAAGTCCTGATTCCAAACACCCTGGAAAGGCCTGAGTACAGGAAGGTTACCGAGTCTCACTTGACCGATAAGCTCGGGGGCTACTGACGGTGTCATACTCCTAGGATTTCCGACTAACGGATATGCTGGCTACCGAATCCATACCGAAGAAGTCTCGAAGGTTCATGACTCACCTATTCAAGGAAGGATATCTAAAGATCACACCAAGACTCAGACTAGGGCACGACTATGTAACTTGTAGGGCAAGTAAGCCTTGGATATAAATAGCTAGCTATCTGCCCTATTGTAATCATCAAAACTTTCATAGACATAACCATCTTGTAATCGCCATCTCGCTATTCGACGAGATCGTAATACAAACAAGTAGCAACTGGACGTACGGCTTTTACTCGCTTCCTGGGGGCCTAAACCAGTATAAATTATGTGTCTCTACTGTGCTTGCTCTTTGCATCAGGTGTATTCCTCAAAGAATCGAATATCTGTCGGTAAAAAACACCGACAATAAATAAAGGGAAAAGCATCAACCAACGAATGCACAGAGCGTGCAAGTGCCATGCTGGAACTACACATCCTTGTGAAATTCCCACATTTGGTCTGGAGAATCAGGGTTTGTAGTTTGGAACACCAAGTGCAATAGGTTGAAATCAGTGACCAAGCTAGAGCAAATTAGAATGGGGCACTTAGCTTATGGATGCATATACATGTGTTGTAGGGGGTGCACATGTGGTGAAACTTTAATCAAATCTATTGTTTTGCAATTTGGGGTGCATTTGCACCCCCCTAGAAACCCTAGTTGAAATAAATAAATATGGATACTAAAACTACGAAGCCTCGATACCAAAGTTTACCACCAGGAATTTAATCAGTCAACAAAAGAAGGTAACAACTTCTCGATGTTGATCGCGTGAGGAAGGCCTCTGCATTCTCTATATTACAATTCTCGCCCATTTATCTTCATAAGGAACTAGGCAGCTAGTATATGTAAAATGAAAATAAGGCTATGGGGGCCGCGAGCACTGGCATGTACTCGCCTAACTCTTTCAAGGGCTCAACCTATGTAACTAAACAAAAACACAAGTGAAGAAGTGTGGCAGAACCATATAATCTAATGCCTCCCAGGAGTACTTGTCTTCTATTAGACACTAAGTACTCAAGGGAGGACACCAAATTATGCAGTTCCGTCGAGCACACCCCAAGGGAGAACCCGAAAATCCACATTTTTCCTTCAGGATCACAAATGAGAGAATAAAGCTTACATCATTATTAACCATTTCTTACATCACTTTCCATGTAACATCAGAGTATAATATTTATTGTTTATAATAGCGGAATATGATCATGTTATCAGAGTTACGAACAATTTAATTTAACAACAAAATATAAACATGTGATCAAAGTTACAGCGGAAATAAATATTTATTTATGACATGATGAAGCATTGATATATAAGCTAGGACAACAGATTATAGAACTTCTATTTATAAAATATTTGGTGAGAGTTATAAATAAAAACTATGATCGTAGCGTAAAGGAATCCCCTCTGAGCTCACCAGGAGGAATCCACACACAAGAGTCAGCTCTAGCATCCGCCTGTCACCTGCAACAGGGAGAAATAAAACCCTGAGTACTCAATTGTACTCAGCAAGACTTACCCGACAGGAGGAAAGAAAAGACTCCAAGGATATGCAAGGCTATCTGGCTTGTGGGTTTATTGCATCTACAGGAAGCATTACTAAGCGTGCGTCCTTATATTCAATTTTATTAGCAGTCATCGTTAGTTTATTAACTAACCATTCTATGTAAGCACCTGTGCTACTTTGAAGCAGGTGGTAAGCAATAGATTCATTGTACCATCTTTCATCTTCTAGTTCTTACTACGGTGCTAGATTGTAGACAAGTCGTACCGGATCGTCTGGTGATAAGCGAATCAATGTGCCCAGATGAGTACCCTGAAACACACGCCTTACTTGTACCCCAGGCACAAGCAGGACCAACCCACTACTCTCCTGTCACGGGGTCTAGGTCCCCGTCCAAACTTGGACTCCAAGCCCCCGCCCCTGAGTCCTGAACTCAGTGCGGTGCTAGGACCTCCACCCAAAAACCACCCTGAAAGTTGATCCAGAAAGAGTCAGAACCCATGACAAGAGAGTAACAAGTCTACCCGTGTCCATACACAAGTATGTGTTCAGGATAATAAGTCTATGACCTACCTAGAACCTAATGCAACGGCCGGTCCTTAACCGACACAGATAGGGAAAATAGTGTAACCAAGCTATGTCCCGTTGGCTGCAGGACACAACCTCCTACACCCACCAATACCCAAACTATATCCCTGTCCGGTCTCCATTTATCATTCACATATATATTCCAAGTGATAATAATATAGTAACAGCAATAATATATTTTCTATCTCTCGCGAGTGACAGGCAATCACTCGACTTCTATCGGAGGCCTGTAGCATAGCAATCTACACGATCCTGTCATACTAGTAAGACTCATAGAATAAAGATATATATATATATATATATATATATATATATATATAAGTGGGTTTCATTCAACTCCTTAAAACTTAATGCACAAATATAATTTAAAGTGCAGAATAATAGGGGTTATGCACCGGGGCTTGCTTGGGTAAGATATAACCAAAAGTTAGTATTCTATCTTGGTGACACGATCATCGAGACACCATCTTTTCCACTACTCTAGATGACTCCATGATCCATCATCGTCCCTATTATGGTATGCAATGCGATGCAGCGATGATGCAACAATTAATTAACAAGGCAACAACAATTCTTAAAACAGAGTACGTACTACGAACAAACAAGCTAGCTCTAATGACTAACGTACTAATCTACGCATCAACATCATCAAGAAATATGTTATTTCCCAACAAGTGTTTTAGTTATACAATTCCAAGGTGTTTCTTTATTCTATTCTATCGATTTAATCTTTATTCAAAATAAGGCATCATTATCTATCTAGCAAACTAATTATTCTGGAGCTACAAAAATTACAGTGAGCAGCTAATAATATTAGAAATTTACTATAAAATTTTTAGAGTTAACACTATCACCATTTTCTCACAAAAATTTCCACAAGTTCACATTTTAACAATATTAAATATTGCAAAATAATTAGGGCAACCCTAAAAACATACAGAACCTATCCAAACAAAA